GGTCAGAATTTTTTTTTTGTTCCTGGGTGGAAGTAGAATGCGTGACGGATCCTAGAGCTTTATCCTTTCATCCTTTACCCCTCTATATTTTCATGTTATAATCGTGTCAATACCAGTTGTAATAGTGGCGAAGGACACTGTGTGGTTTCTAGGGTTATCCACTGAGAACGTGATGGTGGAGAATGGATTGGCTCTAGCAGAAGCCATATGTGATCTCCCAGATATCTTCAATCTGAAGGTGAACGTGAATTCGATTGCATCTCTCCGTTTCTCACCTACCCTACTGTTTTGAAAACTTATTTTACCGGTAGATATTCATAGTCAGCTTACTTGTGAAATTAAAGGATTCCGTGCGAATAGAAACTCAACTCGAAGGAGAAGATACGCAAATAAAGTGGATTCAAGCTGTGGGCAGGACGAAAACTCCTCGCCTTTTCCGCATATACGAATACGAAGGAGCCGAAGTGCTCAGTGCGCAGTATCACAAATACTGCACTTTCCCAGCCGTGCAATCTGCTCTCGTGGACACGATTCTTGTCGATATTGGAGACCGATTGTGGGTTTGGAACGAGCGCACTCCCACCACATTTGCTTTGCGGGTCGCTGATCTGTACTGGAAGGATAGAAAAGGCGATGTGACAGTGATTGGCAAAGGCAAAGAACCAGAGGAATTCATGGCTTTGTTCGCTGAATGGAATGAATGGCCGGAAGGTTACGATCCCCAGTCGCCACCGAGACCTCTCAAGGTACTATTGACTCCCAGTAAGTTGTGGCGTGTGATTTTTACTACAACAATTTTTACAGGACCTCATAGCCGAAAGGACGCAGACGTTCGACGTGGAAGCCCTCCGATCGCGAAAATCACTACCAGAAGGGATCGATACGAAGAATTTACTGCAGTATCTTTCGCCGGCAGATTTCCGACGTGTTTTCTCTATGACTGAAGAAGAATTTGCAAAATTACCTGCATGGAAACAGATTCGTTTGAAAAAAGAGGCGGGATTATTCTGATAACAACCCTATCTTTAATATTTATTACTATATGTACATAGCTATTCGCTCTCTAAAAGCCTGATTTCAGAGCGTTTTAGGATTTTTTGTCTTACGTGGTGTAATGTACTAACATACGTGCAGGCTTGTAGATTTGCCAGCTCAGAAAGCGTGGGGAATTCGGACGGGGGGCTGTTTAGCGAGATACGATTTACTTGTCAGCATGTCTACCCAATTGGCGCTGGTTTGAAAGCTTCCCAGTTGCCAGTTTTCGGAACTTGGACGGCTTTTGGTCGTGTGGGCTATTTGTCAACATATTCTACCCCAGCCAACGTACTTCCTATTGCTGAGGAAGATTTTCGCAGAATGCGACGCCCTCCCCACCCCCCCCCGAAGTTCCTCCACTAATACGACCCCTTCCCATCTTACCAGTTTCCTCCCGCACGGAGAGAACTTCTGGAGATCAAATACCCTTCTCAAAGCTGCAAGTACGACCCCACCCCAATGAGAGATCTACTAACGAGTGTTAAGCGCCGCGTGAAAGGAAAAATCAAATACCAAAAAAAAAAGTTTTTCGGGTCAAAGTACGATGACGCCCTCCTCCAGCACCAAACTCCGACCTCTGCTGGGAATCCTCAGCGTAAGACAAGCGCTTGCGCAACGATGAATGTTTGCAATCATTCCGCATTCTTGGCAACGCGCCCAAGAACCAGAACCAACCTGTCGAATATCCTTGTCTATGCCAATTTCTCTCATTTGTTGGCGAGTGAGTACAGTATGATCTCCTGGGGCATTCTTAGGATACTTTGAAATCTGTAGATTCCATATGATTACTTTTTACCAGTTGACCTGTTATCCCGGACCTGACCGTCACCCTTTCACCTGGGCATGGTTTCGGGACCGACAGGGATTGAACCCGTCACCCTGATATAGTAGACATGAGTCTACGCCACTCGGCCACTCGCTCTAATTTATTCGCCGTGATCTGAACAAGAGACAGGTTTCATCATGACCAATAAAAATCGTTCTTTCCACTTCGGTGATCCTCATTGGTGGAGGTAGATATTGACCAAGCGCCTACAATGCCCCAAGGATTCGTAAGGTTCTATAGTTCCGCTTATAGCGCTAAACCCACACTAAGCTGAGGTCGTGTGCTCAAGGGCCTTACAAAACCCCACGCTTTCTGTGTGGAGTCATTCCAAAAATAGATGCCAACGAGAAATCACAAGGTTTTACCATGGGTTTGGCGTTTTATCAGTTGTGAATTGATCTACTGTACTTCTGTGCTATAACTGCCAATGCTCATCCTTTTCCAAGCTCACCTCGTAGAGGATTTCGATGATAGGGCGAGCTCTGTTATATGTAGACAACTAGAGATCTATCTACTTGTATTTGCTTCGTCGCCATCTCTATCTTTACCTCAAAACAAAAAACGCGTAGATTACTTTATTCAATAGATATCTATTGATCCGATTGCCATAGCTTGTATTGCTAACAAGAGTATCTGCTAATGAATTAATTGCATAAATTTCGATGTTTTGTTTGTTGAGTTTCGGGGTAGTGTAGTCAGAGCCCACTATTCATTGTGAAAATCAAGAGGGGGTCGTAATCTGACCTGACGGCTGGTGTTAGTAATTGTCATTCGAGGAAACCTTTTTAGAAGTTTGTTTGTTTTTATCTAGACACTCGTCACTGTCAGAATCCCGGTAGAGGAGTCGTACTTTGGTCAGTGGGGAAGAAAGGGGAGGGGGTCGGGATAATGTTCCCACCGTGCAAGCGAAGTTTTTTTTGTTTGTGGCTTTTTCCATGTCGCCTGTGTTGTACTTTTCCCTTTCGCTCAGAGGTTGAATTCCGGGAAAAAACTAGTGATTGGGGTTTTACGGGAGGCTATTCGAATGGAGGGAAGCGCATCTATCCAACATTTTACGCAGAACGATGAAACCTTTAATTTTTTTGCGCAGCTGGATGTAGTGGCAAGTGGTGCCGCTCACCACGAGTACAGTCGAGAAGTCAGATCACCTCCCGGCCGGGCGTACTAAGTCTTCTATTCCTTTGGGGTAAACACATTAGTCCCAGGTGCGACTCAGAGAATACGAATGCTGCATTCCGGTAGCTGGCCGATGCAAGTCATTGTGCCAGTGAAATCACCCTCAAAAAAGCAACACGGCGCTGAATAGGCAGCGTTCAGACTTCGCGACGGCAGCGCTTCGGTCGCCGTTCGACGCGATCGATGCAGTCGAAAGCATGCGCATCGATCGCGTCGAACGCGCGACCGAAGCGCTGCCGTCGCGAAGTCTGAACGCTGCCATAGAAGTGGGATACGTAGCTCCAAAAGAGCCTGATCAGCGCCGATCTTTTGTAGTCTTATCGGTTCCTTGGTCCTAGGCTGAGCTCAGGAGAGGTGGAAGCGAAACTGCGTGACAGCTCTCAGGGTGTGTCATGCACTCGACCTCTGTTCGGATTAGGATAGGTACTTGCACTTTTCGAGTGTGTTCTTCGATTGTTTGAGGGCAGAATCCTTGATTATCTGAGTGGCAAAGTCCTTTCCACATACGAATTGTAAAGATCTACAGCAGGAGAGGCTATACCAATTCTGGGACTCGAAAACCCTCACTGGGTGGCAGAGACGCTACGTGTATGTGACCACCGACTGTCCACGCTCACCTCCCCCCCCCTCCCCGATGAACACGTTCACGAAAAACACCGTCTGTGTGTACTACATGTAAGGGGAGGGGGGTCTCGCTCCTGCGTTCACTCTCTCACACATATCGCCGTACTCTCGGACATAGCTCGACATCGACTGCCCTTAGGCCCATTTTGGCACTTTGCTTTTTTTGTTGACCTAGGCGTCACTTTTAGCACCTAAAAGTTCATATGTTGACCCTATCGTTCGCCACTTGCCATCTTCAACTGTGCCTTGGAATGTCTTGTAGCTGCCACTGGTCTAACCTGGTAAGACGGCGCTTTACCACACTCCTGGTGACGAGTCAAGCGACTCTCGGAGCTGACACACACCAGGCCCTTCCCACGTTTCACAATCTGAGTTTCGCCTTTCTTGACTAGTGCTCGGAAATCGTGGAAGTCAATTTTCCACGAAAGCAGCCATATGATCTTTATTAATAAATAGAAAGCTGACGGGAAAAGTTAAAGATAGCAACATATAAATATTTTGCTCATTTCTAAACCGGTTGTTTCAATAAGGATGAAAGCTGTGCAAGGCGTTGTTCGAGAGCACCATGTTGGCTGGATAGGGTAGGATGAGAGCGAACCGACAACGCCACAAGATGTCCCATCTCAACGGGGGTGAACTGGGATCGGCGATCTGGCAGCTGGGCGAGTAAACGATCAGGTTCATGAGCGAGCAGTTCAAAGAATGCCCGAGCTCGATCGAGTTCCGCTTCACGACGTGACGTAATTTGGGAAAGACGTTGTTGAACACCCCAGATATTGCGACACACACGTTTCTTTCCAGATTCCGAAAGCCGTGGCATGTGTTGGCTGAAATAACTCGGAATGAGCTATTAATTTTTTTGTTCGTTTTCAGAAGCAAAAATGTACCTTGAATGGATGAATATTGCAGCACAAAGATGACCAAGACCGTCGAAAATATAGCGAAGTTTTGGTTGCGATAATATTGATGATAACAGTTGATAGAACGCTTGCAAATCTCTTCCCAACTCGACAACCTGGAAAAATTTATCAACCACTGCTACCCGTTAGAGGGCGACTATGACTTCGAAAAAGGAAAAAAAATGCATCGCCAGGAACTGATTTGAAGACCGTAATTTAACATTTTTGATGTGCCTCTGAATTGAGGTTTCATCTGCCCTAACCATGGTTTCAGAGGCAGAAGTCACGACAGCGAAAAAATTGGCGACCTGGGGGGGGGGGAGTGGGAGGGGAAACAAACATTTCGCATTTTCGCGAATTTCTAGTTTCTATTAATTTAGACTTTTTTTTGGTGAGACTGTTGGCTCTTACGAAAGGCAGTGGGCACGACTGCAGGGGCGGGTTGTTGCCAGCGTCAGCGGGGCAGAGGCTACAAGTGACGTTTGGCCACACCTCTACATTTCGTTGACCACTCTAGCCAAGCCACCTCCTCCAGCCCTTCCACCAATGAGGCTCACAACCACGGCACAGCATCGTGATGTGTGGACTGGTGATGTCAGTACGACTCCCCCCCCCCTGAATGAGGGTCTCGGTACGACCCCCACCTTCCCCAACACCTACCTACCACTTTCCTACAAGTTCCCAGCTTCCTACCACTTTTTCCGGAATTTCCCGAGAATTTTCCTTTTTTTTCCCAAAAACTTTGCTGTCGAGCGGGGAGCAGGACGGGGGGAGCGTAAAAATCACATGTGAGACGGGAAAAACAGTAAAATTAGCGAAAAGTCAATTTTTCTAGACGTGGCAAATTTCTCTCAAAGGCGCATACGACCCCCTCTCTCTCAACGGCGACCGAATACGACCCGCCTCCCCAGCGGCCAAGCGACCACTTCATGTGTTTCACATAAAGTTGCTGTACTCTGCTCACAACAACTGCCCGCCTCCACTGAATTTAAGTATAACATGAGGAGGATTCATGAATATGTTCATGAGGAGGATTGCTGTTTAGCTTTGCAGGAATGAACAGGGCTCTACAAGAGGCATCGGCTGTGACCCACGCTGAAAGTTGTTGAAATTAAAGTGCATCAGCCGAACCTCAGCATCCAGCTCCTCATGAACGCTGACATTTCTTGGCCGAGCTAGCGGTAATAAGTGGAAGAAGCAGTGTACACGTAGTTCCAGGTGCAGCATCAGTAGACAGGTATCCGAGATGGAATCCAAACGGCATATACAATCCTCCATTGCATCTAGTACTGGTTCCTGGAAAGATAAAGTCCAGTCTTGAAATAGAGTGTAATTGGGGCGTTTCAGTCTCTACTGATATGAACCCACTAAACACATTCCTCAAAGTTGCTCACCCTCCTCGCAACCTATACGAGCGCGTCAGAGCGCCGTAGGTTGGAGAGTAGGTAGAGGAAGGTAACGTTCAAACTTTGCGATGACGCTGTAACGCGCTGTAGTCCGTCGACGCGGAATTGCAACAGCGCTCCACTGCTACAAACGCGAACGCAGCCACAGACGGGAATCGATATGCATCGGCCGCTTGTGTCTTGAGAGTGTATGGGAAAGTTTTCCAGATTGTGAAGACTGTACCTACCCCTATCGCATGCTCCCGCGAAAGGCGAGCAGCCAGCGCCGATCGATTTTCGTCTGTTTGCGACTATAGAATTGGTGCGCTCTTGCAGTGGTAGCGCTTTACAGCGCGAGGCGTCACCGCAAAGTCTGAACGCTGCCGAAAGGAGCTGGAAAATGACGACATTGCGTCCTACAACAGGGAACCCAAAGTTTATCCATCTTCAAAGACCCCCCCCCCCACTTCGTTTTTCTCTAACTAATCACAGGGGAAGCGTAGGATGATTTTCTTACCAAATGCCTGACATTGAAAACCACGTTTTGATGAAAGTCCTATTAATCAAGAGAAGAGAAACTTCATGCATACATTGTCAGTTATCTGCCCATCTTTGTATCGGACCTGAACCATGCATCCACGAAGATTTGACTTCACATGCTGTGGAAGCGAATTAATCAGTCGTCGAATCTAAAGATCAAAAAGTTGCGCGGGGTGAAAGCGTCGGTATTCATTAGACGTACCTCACAAGCAAACCATCGCAAGCTTTCGTGCAACGCTGCAAGTGCTCGCACATCCGACATATCGGTCAGTAATTCAGCGCGTTCAATTTTCTTTTGAGTGGCAAGGTTTCCAATAAGGATCTCTGATTCCCGCTCATTCCTTTGTCGAATATCCTGAACACAAAATGAGGTTACAAAAAGTCTGGCTCTGCTGGCAGATAAGGTGTCGCGCAACAACGAACGCGATACTTCGCGGAACTACCTTCTCGCTCTCAAAATTCGGAACACTCGGTGTACTTGGAGTAGCTTCTGTGGCCGCCATCATCCAGTTTGGAAGACTCATGAGCAACCTGAACAAGAGTGGACCAAAAATGGTAAATCCAATATATAACATGCATGCCAAGTCACTGGCAAACACTTCGCCTCAAGCAATATTCGAGTATAAAGGATAAAGTCTTCGCCGTTGATCAATCCCTTTGTGGGATGCGGCACGCATTCTACTTCCATTCAGAATCGTAGTGGCTTATTGAATGCGATGTGGCCTATACAATGACGGTGGCCAGCCGATGTACAAGTCAGTGTTTTATCCTCCCAGACGAATCTGGTACCAATTTACCGTCCCCGGAGGGTAGAAGGCTTGGTTGGCCTGGGCGGGAGTCGACCCGGGATTTGAACCCGGCGCCGCGCGAGTGGTGAAGCGCGCCACTTGTCACTATTCGAGTAAAGAGACGTAATTCAGTCCTGGAGGCACCATACGGTATTCAGGGAAACTATTACAGCCACCTAGAAAAGATGTGTGAATACTTGTAACCGAAGTGATTCATTAGTACCATTCCGCGGCTTCGCAGGGATAAGACTTGAACTTGACATTAAGTAGCAACAGTAACTAGCAAAAAGGCTAAATGCCTCTCCCAAGTCGAACAGCTCGTAAGAGGACCTTCTCTTTGCAGAAATAGTCCACGATGATCGCATGGGTGGAGAAAGATAACCACTTTAGTCCTGCGGCGTTTCATGACGTCTTATGAGGAGAGGCGCACCAATGAGGAAAGAAGTTAACTCTCCGTTGAGCCAGTTATCGCGGAATGAGCCCTCAAATCTGGTTCCGTTCTGCATGCAAAACAAACGAAATTCACCACAGTCAAAACGAAGCAACTGTTTTCCGCAAACAACGAAATGGGAAAAATGTTTCCGGGCAACACCTAATCAGATGATACCTGAGGGCATCATTTGAAAAAAACAGAATATTAGTTCAAAAACAAGAGAAAAGCTGGAGGTTAACGGCTTTGTTTGGCTCGGAGGGGGTGGGGCAAACGGTATACAGCTCAACTTGAACAGGCCGTCTCGTGAAGAAAGCGACCAAAGTGTCTCATTTGAACTAATTCACAGCTTCACATTAGTTTACGAATGTCACCAAAGTACCACTTATTTAGCATGAACTACAAAAAAAGCGCAAAATGCCTTCTCCGACGCAAATGGCGCCGAATCAACAACTACCTTGAGATATCCTCATCCGCAGCCCATGCAGCACTAATTTTTCGTCTCGAGGGAATTCCGTCGATTTCGCTCAGCGATTTTGTAGTCTGTAGAACAACTAGGCATTATGTACTCATATTCACAAAACACCTGGGAAACAAACAGAATTTACCCTCTCGTACATATCCGTGACATTCTTGTTGTAGTCGGTGAGTACAAGCAACCAAAGGGCAGCAAATCTATCTGCATACAAGTCCATAGAAACAATCAAGCCATGTACTTCTTGGCAGAGTTCCAAAACGCGTTCGCACGATGGCAGAACTTTCTGAAAAGATTCACCATTCACCACCAGTTTTCGATCTTATTCAAACTTCATTAGGAACACTTACAGAGTTTACGCTGGTTCTAGGCCGTGTATTATCAGATCTTCTTAAGGCGTTTTCGATACGATCTGCAAGTCCTGCTTTCACTCTTTCAACGAAGAGCTCCATAACGAAAGAGTGTACGAAGCGCCTGAAAGGTTTAAACTCCTAGAAGACTTCGAGTAACACTGATTTTATTCCTCGCATACCTGAGCTGACATGGAGATTCAGCTGTTTCCTTTTCGATGGAATCCATCAGCTTACGCAACCAAGGAAACATCGGTACAATATTGAAAGCAGACGGACGGCAAACAACTAATGGACTCTGCAACATCTCATTCTCATATTAGTGCTTAAAGGTACATTGCGGGAGATCCGTTGCGGCGAGAATCAAGAAGGAATTCCTTTCTAACTAGTGGCCCTGGTGCGAATGTCGTGCTCGTGGTACCACTTGCATACCAGTGGTCGCAACATGGATGAGGAGAAGGCGCATAAATGAGTGAAAGAAGTTAACTCTCGCGAGCCCCGTTTATCGCGCATAGAGCCCTCAAGTCTGTTCCGTTCGTGCATGCAAGAACAAAGAAATTCACCACCATTCAAAACGAGCAACTGTTTCCGCAAACAACCCCGGCACGAATGGGATAAAATTGCTTTCCGGGCAACACTAATCAGATGACTCCTGAGGGCATCAATTTGAAAAAAAACAGATATATTCGTTCGAAAAAAGAGAAAAGGGCTGGAGGTTAACGGCCTTTGTTTGGCTCGGAGGGGGTGGGGCAAACGGTATACAGCTCAACTTGAACAGGCCGTCTCGTGAAGAAAGCGACCAAAGTGTCTCATTTGAACTAATTCACAGCTTCACATTACTTTACGAATGTCACCAAAGTACACTATTTAGCTATGCAATACAAAAAAGCGCAAAATTGCCTTCTCCCACGCGAAGGGCACCGAATCAACAACTACCTTGAGATATCCTCATCCGCAGCCCATGCAGCACTAATTTTTCGTCTCGAGGGAATTCCGTCGATTTCGCTCAGCGATTTTGTTGTCTGTAGGACAACTAGGCATTATGTACTCATCATTCCAAAACGACAGAAACAAAACAGAAATTTTTTGCCTCTCGTAAATATCCGTGACATATCTGCTGTGGTCGGTTGAGTACAACAACAAAGGGCAGCAAATCTATCTGCAGTAAAGTCATTAGAACAATCAAGCCAATGTACTTTCTTGCAGAGTTCCAAACGCGTTCGCACGATGGCAGGACTTTCTGAAAAGATTCACCATTCACCACCAGTTTTCGATCTTATTCAAACTTCATTAGGAACACTTACAGAGTTTACGCTGGTTCTAGGCCGTGTATTATCAGATCTTCTTAAGGCGTTTTCGATACGATCTGCAAGTCCTGCTTTCACTCTTTCAACGAAGAGCTCCATAACGAAAGAGTGTACGAAGCGCCTGAAAGGTTTAAACTCCTAGAAGACTTCGAGTAACACTGATTTTATTCCTCGCATACCTGAGCTGACATGGAGATTCAGCTGTTTCCTTTTCGATGGAATCCATCAGCTTACGCAACCAAGGAAACATCGGTACAATATTGAAAGCAGACGGACGGCAAACAACTAATGGACTCTGCAACATCTCATTCTCATATTAGCGCTTAAAGGTACATTGCGGGAGATCCGTTGCGGCGAGAATCAAGAGGAATTCTTCCTAACTAGTGGCCCTGGTGCGAATGTCGTGCTCGTGGTACCACTTGCATACCAGTGGTCGCAACATGGACTTCCGCGCTCATTTACGGAAGAAAATCATGTAAAATTTGCAAAAACTCGGAAATCCGTCTGAAGCGACTAACAAGGTAATGTCCGAAAATACCTGCAAGCTCGGATCAGTGGTGGATGTTCCACTAGCAAAAGCCGTGGCATCGAATCGGAAGAGCGGTTTCTTGGAGTCGATGGGCTCTTTCGCAGCCAACGGAGTAATATCCAGGTGATCAGAAACAAGCGCCTGAACAAGAGCTTTTGTTATAAGAAGAGCGCCAAAAGGCTAAGCCAACCTCCACGGCATTCTGAGCACCCTCCCAATATAATTTCATGATTTTGGTGCTCGAAGGTGACTCTGCGCAGATTTTCTCGAGTACTTTATGGGCACTTCGAGACGAGTCCAGCTGGCACACTATCTGAAACATCACACTCATACGGAGCTTGTTACGAACACTTATTGTCGAAGAACCAACCATTTGGACGAGCTGCGTCAAATGAGTTTGATCTCCTGCTAAATTTTCATCTATCGAGGCACGGACCCTCATCAATGACACCGATGCGGCTACCTGAAGTTGAATTAGAAGCAGGGTAAATCATCGTTGGGAGAATCTCAGATGAGGGGGCGGGGTCCTGGTCCTTGAGGATGGGAAGAGTACCCGATCTTGAAGGGTATCTTTCCGAGCGAAAGAGTTCTTCCATTGCTGAGTTTTCGCGGGTTTTTTTGTCCCTCTTTCTCGCTTCCCTCCTCTTGAAGGCGAAACTAGGGGGAAACCAGAAAGTTTTTGAAACCTGGTTTATTTAGGAAATGGTAGGCAGGAATGAAGGAAGGGGTGTCGGGCAAGAATATTTGCGGGGGAAATTTGGAACACCTGAGACCGCTGTTTCTCCCATCCTAATACTGTAACCTAACTAGAAGACATAAAGCTCCGGAGAAAAAAACTTGATGCTACCTACCTGCTTATCAATTTGTGCTCTAGATAGAGACATTACGCGATCCATATCCACATATCCACCGCCAAGCTCTGAGAGAGCGGAACTGCAAGACGAAGACGCGCTTCGACCGGTTCTAGCGAGCGGGACAGCCTAGCCTGAAAAAATGAACCCTCATCACTGGAAGTCATCAGGAAAAGCTATAAATTCCTAGAAGAATTCCTCACTTTGTCATGAAGGCGAGAGCACTGTTCCGACTCCATCACTCGTTGTTCGGACATCGTTTGAATCAAGTCAAACATCTGTTTTAAAGATAGTATGAGCACAATCGAAGTGGATTCTCAGAAGCGTGGGGCTACTTACGTGATGTTCAAATGGGTCAACAACGAGTATGTCGACGATCTGATCGACAATCTTCTCGCTCAGACGCTCGGAAGCTTCTCGAATCATGGTTCTTAGTTGACACAAACCTTCGATTTTAGACAGCCGGCCATTCAAAAGATCTCCTTAAGCATATTTTCTCTTCTGAAAGGGCCTAGAAACGTGCAGTCATGACCCCCCCCCAAATGACAGAGCGTGTGAAGGGGCGTAATTGTCGGAAATCAGTAGCCTTTCCTGCCAACTGTTGTCGACAGTTGGCAGGAAAGGCTACTGGTTTCCGACAATTACGCCCCTTCACACGCGTTCACCCTGGCACTGGGCAGGTCATCTTGAAGGCCTTGCAGCGCTCCTATCCTGCCTTACTTGCACCAACGCCCTATCCTTTCGAGGATCACGACTGCGTGTATTGTGGCCAGCTGACAGTAAAACATGTAATGGGCCCGAAACCAGTCATGGGATCGCGGGCAATTCTCTTTGCTAGTAAACAAGCGACAAAACTGTTAAATGAGGCAAACTAACGAGATGTACTAGTAATCTTGGCTGCGTCCGTATAGTTTCCTTGATTCATAAGCATATCAATCTTCGACGGTGCTTCCTTCAGCTCATCCCTTCAAAAGTTGGAGTTTTCGTCTTTAAAGCTCGATCACGTGAAAAAAGGATGGTACAGAAAACCTTACAATTGTGATTACGTCATTCAAGTGGTTCGAAGCTACCCGTTGAGTTGATCACTGTAGGTCTACCTGTTGTTTGTGAGCAAAATTGAAATCCTAGGATGAATGATTAATTGTGAGTTTTGTGATTCTATTTATTGCTTGCCTTCGTGTTTGTTGAGTTTTGTAATAATTATTGGAAAAAGAAACTTTGACTATCTGTATCTGCACACTTCACGTGTTTTGCTTTATTTTCGTTTATTGAGACCAGTTTGGCCGACATGCACTACTGCGCGCATGGTCAAACCTATGGTACTGATTACTGACAGGATTTCTGTGCCGATTGCTAACACTTGGCTTGATTCCCATGTTTCAAAATACGGCCCACTTCCATATTTCACCTTTCGATGAGCATTTGCCAATGTGTGGTGCCCATCACATTTCTAGAAACACCTACCATTCGTTGGGAGAATTTTGATTGTAACAATATCGAGATCATAGTAATGTCCTTACATCCTAGCTTCCGTTGAGCAGCTTTCACATATCCGTCTATAGCTCTTATCATTCGTCACCGACAAGCATCTTTAGGACTTTTTGTCCAATATTGAGAGTTCGGTCGAATCAATTTCGACTATATCGCTGAAGGATAGAAACATTTTGACTCACTGAGCCTTTGTTCATTCGTCCATTGGCCAAGCTGGTCAAGTTCACTCGCAAGCAGAGTAAAAGATTGCGAAACAAGATGCTGCCCCTTTATTGCCCTTGTAGGAACATGTCAAAACTTATCTGTCAGGCCGGCGCGGCGCAACCGATTAATATTCTCCCTCCCCCGTGTTTCCTAACCACCTCTGAATCACTTGCTGGAAGCAATTCTCCAGTTTTTTTACAACTCGTGCTATGAATTTCGGCGGCTTCCTTTCTGAAGTAGCTTCCTATGGTGCGTTATCAGCTATTACCACTTCCTGCCACCTGCCAATAATGTTCCCATCTTGCCCCTGCCCTACTTATTGAAACCATGCGTTATCAGCTATTACCACTTCCTGCCACCTGCCAATAATGTTCCCATCTTGCCCCTGCCCTTACTTATTGAAACCAAAGTCCCGTCGTTGCTGTAGGCTGCGCTATGAAGTTGGTGACCCTCACTTTGTAAGGCCCATTATGGTATCTTATCAGCTCTTATCACTTCCTGCCACCCACCAATAATGTTCCCATCCTGCCTCCTATCTTACATCTTGGAAACCAACGTTCCGCCCTTGCTGTGGCCCGCAATATGAAGTTGGTGATCCCCTTCTCAGACCCGCTACGGTATCTTATCAGCTCTTATCACTTCCTGCCACCCATCAATAGTGTTCCTGCCCAACCACCTACATCACTTATTAATTTGAGGGTCTATCGCTGTTCTTGAAGAAAATTATAAATTTCCGGTCAATACAGACACCATACACCAACAAACTTAGCGGATTATGTATAGAGGATTGTTTTCTGCTTGTCAGCTTTCTATCGCTTTAAATAGGAATCCCAGTACTAAAAAATTCATAATCATTATCCTCTTTGCGGGGAGGCCTAACTTGGGCGTGGAATTCCAAACGAGACAGTCATCTGTTCCAGGATTTTGTGAAGAACCGATGAGATTTCACGAACCCCGGTACAGATGAGTAGATGAAGAGCCGTAATGTAAGTGAAGTCTCCTCGCGTCAGTTAACCAACGAATCGTTTTTTTTGAATTTTCACTTGGGTTTCTTGTTCTGTTCAATGACACTTACGTTTTCAGTTTCTCTGAAAAGGTTTCAACACAACACAGCACATGTATTAGGTTGGCGGGAAAGTTCTGTCACATTTTTTCAAATTAGACTTTCTTTTACAGAAAGAAGATCAAAATTATACAGCAATGTTATTGCGAGATCCTTGCCAGTTTTTGGACACTTCGTGGATGCCATCGCTTCAACGCACGCCGGCGCGACGCAAAGTTGGACATCATCTCAACTTTGACTTGGGCTCAAGTCGTGGAGGTTTTCTCGGCTGTATAACGGTTGAATACGGGAGGCGACTAGCAGTCAGAAAGAGCAATGTCTGGACTACACCGGTGCAAGGGTAGAGCCGTCCAGCTCTATAGCATGGCTTCGGCTCGAACTTTTTTGGACGGAGTGGGCCGCACGAGCAGCCGCCAGCTTCTTCATCCAGTAGTTTCCCGGCCCACAGCTATCTCAAGCTGAGATCACAGGTACTCCCAAACCTCACTTCGTCATTCAAACCGTAGGCTCCCGCTCTGGAGCGCTACCGTCGTGGAAGATCGTCTGATAATTGGAGACATTGT